CCAAAGGGAGAGTTGGGGCTCCTTGTAGGGAGTTTGAGCTCTTAGTAGGGAGTTCGAGCTCTTAGTAGGGAGGTCGGGCTCCTCGTAGGGAGTTCGGGCTCCTCGAAGGGAGTTCGGACTGCTGGTTTCTTCCCTTTGGTGTTTGCACCCTAAGTACGCTGCTTTAAATGTCGAACTATTTGTTTTTTACCACGTGGCGCGATTGCGAGGTCGGGCCAAATCTTCCTTCATCACTTTTCATTTTGTTCTTTTAAACTTTTATTTTTTTTATTTGCATAGACTGTATTTTGAATTTAGGCGACTAGAATGGTTGTTAATCTAAGAGGGTATGCTATACATACAGATACAGTTGGATATTTGTCAGCATTTGATCATGCTTCATCATTCATGAGATGTCATGAATCTTAGAGAGAGAGATGATGTAGAAATGGGATGTGTGCAACTCTGTTGTAAAATGAAAAGGAGAAACTATACAAGGAAGTATGGGTTGACAGGGCTTAATATTGGCAGTAGTAGAGAGCCCTCAATACATTATACACCCATCAATGCTTAGATACCAAAAAGTCTCACGCCAACTGTCTTGGCCCAAGAAGGACAGACTGCTCTGTCCAATCTATAATTTTAAAACAAAGATATCTCGACCAATATTGCAATACTTGTATGGTGGCCACTGGGGCATACCCCAGCTTTGATAAATAGGGTAGAACCCCTAATTAATACTGCACAAGTACCCCTCTCACACAGTCAGAGTGATGACTCCATGAACGCGCTCTCACTGAGTCAGTCATGAGCCCCTAATTGGCTTGAAGATTTCAGGTAAATAAAGAAGTTGTTAATTTTTATCCAATGGATAATAAACACGTGGGGGGATATTCCATGGGAGCGCTTCCATTGGAACATCCTATCTTTTGAAAAGACAAAAACACCACCAGCACCATATCACTTTAACTTTACATTGTTCTGAAGAATAGGGATCTCTTTTGTCCTCTTCATTTGGATGTTCCCCCAGCTCAGCGCCCTAACTTTAGTACCATTTCATTTCAATTGTCAGTAAATGAAAGTGTATTTCTTCTGCTTCTACACAACTTTAGCAGCTCAGATCGGCTCAAAATATGTCCACTCCCTTTTTCCACATTAGCCCAAAAATGTGTCTAAGTAGCTGTTTGAATGACTTCTTGCTTTGTCTTTCAGTGAATAAGCAATTAATGACTGAATGACATTTTGGGTTTTCTTGGGTTGATTACTAAACCCTCAAAAAAATTTTATATCAACAAGTCAATCAGTTCAGTTACTTCAGTCATTGACGAAAGGTTCCCATATTAGCTTTTTGGTTTGTGTGTGGTGCCCAATGGCCCTCTGCCACGTTGTTTCCACCCTAATTCATCTGAGTTTTTTTTTTTTTTTTCCTTTTCCCCCAAGCTACTTATATGTTAAAATTTTCAAAACACAGCTGTTATTTCCAAAAGTAATAGAATATAAGCAAGGGGCTGATGTGGACAAGAAAACTATAGATGGGCCTGTTGGTCTGCCATTTCATCCACAGCTTCAGAAGAGAATGCATAGGTACATTTCAGCTGAAAGTGATCATGGTAATTCTGTTTCATTTGGGTACAACTGGAGAGTAATTCAAAATTCAAAACAATACCTAGATCTGAGCAAGTTCTCCTCAGAACCAATTTAGATAACAAGACCATCAACATTTCCTTTTCCTTCTCTCACTATAAATGGGTGGATTTTCAAATTCAAAGAAATAAATAGTAACCTCTCTCTCTCTCTCTCACACACACACACACAAATACTTGAGAGTTGAGTTTGGATGGATTTTGAATTCAAAGAAAATTAATAGTAATGTTTGGAAGGAATAGGTGGGAGAGGGGAGGAAAGACCATAAAGGGTGAATTAGGGAGCATTGAAAAGGGAGAAGATTCTCGTAGAAAGAGAGTGTCGTCCTATACTAATGATTATATCTCTTTGCTCCTTTTACAAAGACATGAGTGAGGTGAAGCATACCATACGAATGAAAAAGCTTTCCCTACCAAAAGAAATGAAAAGAGAAGAGGTGGGATGGGAGTTTCAAGTGTAACCCCAAATCCCTCAAACCCGCCCCTAGTTGGTGAGCAGTCGGTATTACTAAACCCTGCCGACAGGAAACTGTCCCTCAGCCAAATGAGTAATAATGTAAAAAGAAAACCCATATATAATACTCTATTTCATCTACTATAATCACTTAGCAAAAGTTAAGAGTTGCATTTGATTTCTTACCTTTTAGAACAATACCCATTTGGTGATTTTTTCTCCACCTTTTTACTGTTTCAAGGTGGGTGGGTGAATCTAAAATCCATCAATAGAGAGAGAGAGAGAGAGAGAGAGTTTCAAATTGCTTTTAATGGTTCTTATGATAAGAGAGACATGCTTTCATGAACAAAACTACTGGGGTTTGTAGTGAAAGATGTAATGTTTAGTAAGGGAGATTTCCAAAATTAGAAGCACTCCTCACCAGGGGAATGGGATGATGGCCAGCCATTCTACCCAAATGATATGTTGGCCTAGAATGCAATTTCTATTTATCAACTAAATATCCTTTTTCTTTTCATTCATTCTCATATTTCTTCCAGGGATCATAAGAACCATGTCTGGGATGGATTTTGAAGTCTGAAAATCACATACCCACTTGCAAGCCTGCCAAAGCTCGACATTCATGCTGAAAAATGAAAAACAGCGTATCACCATTTCTGTTCAAAAACATGTGCTTGTCAATCATAGTAATAGTAATAAATGTGATAATATAATAAAATCAAAATACCACTTGGAAGGATGTCATCATACAGACCAGATATAATAAAGGCAAATAAATCTGCAACATGTCTACATGTAAATATGCATTTTTAAGTAAAGGTGGAAGATGGAAAGAACCACTAACACCACCATCAAGACCTGCTAAATCATATTTCAACCCTCGTTGCTGTGGAGTCTGCAAAATCAGTTCAGGTTTGTTGTGGAATCACCACCAGGCAGCTTACCTGCTTCCTCATGCCGACAACCTTCCATGCTTTGGGTCCTCTAAAAAACTTTTAGCAATCATGATGAGTGCCATTGATGACTCTGCAAACTCCATTTTTAACCTTGAGATCAAAAGTGAAAAAAAGAAAAAAAAAAGTCCAGCCCACGGTTGAGAGTAACAAGCTTTGGAATGTTTTGAAGGACAAGTCACCCAGAGATGATGGGATAAAAGGGGATCCCAAGCCTTCACTTTGATCACGACAATCAAAGCAGCATGATATAGACATCCTCTGTCTTCATAATGGGGTTCTCTTCATCAATGCAGATCCCAGGAATGCAACAGTGCACAGTACTTCAGTTACAATGATACAGCTCGAGGTTGACCATGACTTAATGACCAAATCAAGTTTGCCATCTACACAACCAGCTTAAGCACCACAGGTGAATAGATCACTTCAGTTTGCAACTTCAAAATCATAATCATTCTGCCATCCTTTCACAATTTTTGTTATTCAAGCTGACTCAAAAATTCCTATAAAGCAACACCTCTTAAGATGGATTCTCCAGTTGACCATTATCTTTGCCACTTGGCTCTGTCATAAAGAACTTGATATGTAACTAGACATTCTTTCATCCTGATCATCATTTCTACAATCTGGACCATAGTTCACTGAGGATCTATTTTTTCTATCCGATTCTGGTTTTAATATTATATCACAATATAGAAGCTGATAGAATCCCAACTGCTAAGCAGATAAAATTATTAAAAAAAAAAAAAAACAAAATGAAAAGAAGACTTGAAAAAAATGTTCTTCATAATGCAATAAAATTGAAATATTCTAATTGAGAATAGTTGTAACTATATTTAATTGCAGCTTGGGCTTTGGTTCTGAAGCTAGCTACTAATGGACATATATCTAAGCATAGTTAGATGATCTTCCATGGCCAGCATGAACCCTTCCTAGTGAGGAATCTGACCATATGGTGAAGATATAGTATAGTCCATGCAAATGTTGATGAGTGGTATTGGTCATAGATGCCGAAACTGAATATGAGAGCCATCATCTTTTGTTTCAGTTAGAAGGCAGGGCTCTATTTGCAGGAATGCAAACAAAAAGAATAAATATAGGCATACTTTGGGTATGCTGAAGCACTATAGAGATTATTAGCTCTGCTTATTATATAAACAACAGTGTGGTTATTTCAATAGTAAGATCACTTTTGCAGTGATTGCACACTTCATAGAGGGATGACAAATGTGCACCAGATCAACTTCAACACAGTAGAAATGTACAATAAATATCTTAATCCAGTTTGGGATCAACTCCTTGAGACCTAAAAAGTAAAAGCTGCTTTGGGTAGAACTTTTCTGTTAATCATTAAGAAACATGGAAAATAGCACGACTAAATTTTGATAACAGAACAAAATAATCTCTGTGAGCTTTAAGTGTGCATGATAAAGGAATTCTGGAAAGCCTCAAGTCTGAAAACTGTCACCAATTGAATGAATCACTTCAGCACAAGTTACCTATAGATGTTGGAATAACAGTGTGGAAGTTTCAATCTTGCCATCTGTCTTAGTTCTGCAATAAAATTATTGGTCAACCCAAGCTCCATTCTCAACAAAATGTTATCGAGCACTTAAGAGGTTGTTGATGGATTCATTTATGTTGCTAAAGACTTGAACCCTCTCCTCATAGCAGGTACATCACAAGCTCCAGAAATAAATGATCAAAGAAGAGTATCACTTTTCTTTTACAGCTCGCTACCTAAAGAAAATGGAAACATTTGATACATAATGAAAGGAATAAAAAGTAATGCATAACATCAATGAGATCATTGGTCAGTTGGCTACTCAGGTTATTAAACACTTAAAACCAATAAGAAAGAATTATGATGTTACACCAGAATTTCTGAAATGAATACCAGAAGAGGTAAAAAAAGATGACCTCCTTCATAAATATTATTTATCTCAAATAACTCTAGGAAAGAAAATGTTACAACATTCTTCCTGTTCTGTTCATTAATTGTCATATCATTATAAACAAGAAGAGTTTCTTTTGCTGCAAACCCAGTAACCCCAAAATCATGCTCAGGCAGGAGATGGTTGATCAGTCGAATCCAAAGGCCTCTAATACATCATTCAATCCTCTCTCATGGTTCCTCCCTCCCCTGCCCTACTGCCTCAAAATCTTCTATTAGATGAGAGTAAGTAAACAAAGACAAAGACGAGTAGTGGAAAGAATTCAATAAATCCTACAATTTCAGAATTCTACAAGGGTGAAAAAAAATGTTACACTGAGGATGCATCAACAAAGACCTCATTTAGTGCGTCATCCTCTCCATTTACTGTGGCAAACAGCTCTGCATCCTTGTCTTCCTCACTGGAGAAATCCCGCCTCTCAAGCTTGGCATGGGCTGCAATGAATATCATCTTCTGTGCTCTGTCCATGCCGGCGCTCGAGTGCCCATGAGTGCACACCCACCTCAAGAATGACCAATTGCATTTGAACCCACATGAGGTTGCATGGAGGAATATCAGCCTCACTGCCACCTTCCCTAAAGACTTAAATTCACTCAGGCATGTCTCCCACACTAGTCTACTACTCTGCGGGTTTGCAATTTTCATCTTTCCTGTCAAGGGGTCTCGCTGTTTCACCTGAACAGCCTTTGCATAGAGTGGGTCAAGCCCCTCTGACCTCCACTTCATGAGCTCCATCAGTGCAATATGTGCCTCCTCCCTAGACACCAGCCTGGTAATGAGCTTGTCAACATCCTTCTCCTGCTCGGGTGTCAAGCACTTGAAAGGTGGGAGGTACTTGCCGCTCGTGTCTTTCATCAAATAAAGAGGGTCAAGTATGAATGCTGCTGACCAAGCTGGGTGGTAGTTCTTCTTGAACCTCTTCTCAATTACCTTCTCCACAGGTCCCTCTGCAATGTTGAACTTGGCACACCATTCCTTCACTTTTGTCCTTAGCTCCTCCCAGAGTGGGAGGCATTGTCCAACCAGCGGTCTGTCTGCCTCAATCTCCTGAGCCATCCCCCTAATCAGCTTCACTAGAGAGTGAACAGCCTCCAATTCACTCCAAAACCCCACATCCCGTATCATCTCTGCAACCTCCCTTGCAACAGGATCCTCTACGCATACCATCTTATAAGATTCATCTAACACAACCAATTGGAGTGCCCGAGCAGAGTTCACAATGTCCTCTAACATTGCATACACAAGTGCAAAGTTATCACTGTTCTCACCCTCAGCCGGTGGCACCCGGAGCAGCCCGGCATGATCAAGCTCCTGCATTTGGTACTTGTGGAATGTATTCCGGACCTGGGACTTAGTATTTACAAAATTTGCGAGCTTCAAGCAATTCTCAGTAACAGTCTTGAAGAGCGGAAGCTCCTTGCTGAAGTCCTTGATCAAACTAATGAACCCCTGAAGCTGGCAAGACAGATTAACCATCCAATGGTTCTGGCTCTCTAAATTTCTCAATGCCTTTCCCTTGAACTTGTCGGCAACGATCCCCACGCAGCGTTGCACGACACTCCCACATATGCCCGTGATCGTCTCCCAGAGGATCTCCTCTGCGTACTTGGACGGAACAGGCCCGCTCGTGAACAACGCCTTTTGGAACACACTCGTCCCATTGGGGAGGTTCACTGTCAAATTCACCAAGCTTTCTCCACCAACACTGTTGAAACTCTTCGGCTTCCACCCATCCGAGGCGACCTGAAAAAACATGGCATCCCTAATTCTCGCTTCGGACTCAGTCTTCGCTTCTTCAAACCTGGCGTCGAGCCTGGAACCGGAAAACTCTCGGCGGGAAACCGGGGGCAAGCCTACCTGGTTAAGGAAAGCCCGGAACTTGGGATGCTCAAGGCTTGAGAAGGAGACAGCACCGCAGGACTCATAGAGCCAATCTGCGAGGAGGCTGAAAGCGGATTCAATCTGGTTCTTGCTGAGCATGGGGCCGGGGGACGCCTTGGGACTCTTGAGCTTCTTCACGCTGTCTTCGAGCATGGCGAGAGCACCCAAGTCCTCCTTCCCGCCCGACAGCATCAAATGTGGATGCTGTGGCGGAGGCAAAGCCGCAGTAGCACTGGAAGTGGCGACGGCCGTTGGGGAAGAGTAGCCGAGGTCGGAACAGAAGCGGGTGGGATCGACCATGGCAAGTGGTGATATCTGATACGAGGAAGAGGGACCAGCGCCGCCACCCCCGCCAGAAGACGAAGCACTGCGCTTGCGGTGGTTGGGGTGGTGGTGGTGAGGGTGCGAAGAAGGTGAAGGGATGGGGGAGATAGGAGAAGGTGAAACAGAGGAGATGGGTTTGGGTACAGAATTGAAATTGGGGCAAGTCCCTCTCTTGAGGTGCTCGGAAGCAGTGCGAGATGGGTTGGAAGCTGAGAAAACAGCATCGCAGAGGGAACACCTGAGCTTGACCGCTTTGGGGAGTCCGGTGTCAGAATTATGAACCAGTATGGGTTCCAGGTGAGCCCAGTACCAAGCCCCTTTGCCCTTTATGGCTTTAGTCCTCACAGTCACCAATCCTTCATACCGCTTGTGGACCGCCTTTGCCGTCAGGTCATCAGCCGACACCGGCACCGACGAGTCCATCGTTGTATTATTCGCAGTGGCAGCCATTGTTTGTACTTGGAAGCAGGACCGTCACTTGATAAGTGAAGAAGACAAAAGTAAATGAATACTAACAGTAATAAATAAAGAAGAGGACACTGGCTAGGAGTAGGGACGGCTAATCTTCTTCCTCCACCGTCGTCATCGTCGTTGCAAGTCAGAACAACAGTGGCATCATCAGCTCGACGGCTCTTTCCTTGCATTTAGCCGGAAAAAGCCGCCGCCGGTATCTGGAATTCATTTCTACGCCGGTCTTCCATGCTGGAAACCGGCGATCGGGGGCCGGGGGTAAGTAAAGCTGATATCCTTGGCTGCTTCTGCTGCTTGTTTTATTGGTGGATCTTTTAGCTGTTGTTGTGTGGAGTTGTTTAGCTGTAGCAGCTGCAGCTATTGAGGAAGAAGAGAGGAGAACGAAAAGAGACAGGAGAAAAAGGGAACTTGGAAAGAGAAACACTTGGGAAACAGAGAGAAAAAATGGAACTCTCTCTCATGTTTCTCTTATTTCTCTCACTCTCTCTCATGTTTTTCTTCTCTCTCTCTCTCCTTCCTTTTTATGTTATTAGTCACTTTGCTCTCTTGGTCTCTCTTCAAGCCCAACCCACCACTCTTTTATTTCTTGTTTCTTTTTCTTTTCTCTCTCACAATTTTATTTTGTTCTCCTTTTTTTCCCTTGTTGTTCATGTGGGCTATTTCAACACTGACAAAGAGCAGAGAGGACCATCTTGGAATTTAATACATATTCATTTAATTATTTATTTATACATCTATTTTTCTTCCACTGTTTAGACATGGTTGACCAACAAATACAAGTGAATGCCTTGAAAGGTTTATCAAATATTTGTGCAATCAAGTCATGGAGGCCCTCTATAGAATCAATAGCAACTATCTCACACATGAGACAGAGGAGAGAGAGCCTGAGAGGAGAGAGAATGTGGTCCCCACAGCTGCCCCCCTGAGAGGCTGAGACCCTTTTATGAACTGAACTTATAGAGCTGTTTTCCTTGGACAAGGACTAGTTTCTGGGCTTGCAATTGAATAGAATTTGTACAACATGGTCCCCTTGAACACTCAAAACATACGCTCCAATACAAGCAGACAAGCAAGCAAACTTGAGCAGGTCTAGGGTTGTAACCTTTTCTGATTCAAGTGCAATTACACAAGACTTCTCCCCCAGAATTTTGATATCTATCTTAGGGCACAAATTAACAGATACAAATAATAATAATAATAATAATAATAATAATAGACATTATCATCTCAACTTTGCAGTTTGATTCTTTGAAGAAAAAAAACATTATTATTATTATTATTATTAAATGTTTAATTTCATAAGCTTAATCAGCAGCTAATTATGGTCCTTTTTACCTCAAAATGTAGGTTTTAAATGAGAATATGATGAGCAGAGACATGTGACCTGTCCTTCACCCTCCAAACTCTGCAAATATTGAATCTGCATAGGAGAAAAAGGACGCTACCCTTCTACTCTCACTGCACATTGACACAAATTCTTTGTACATGCACGGACGAGAAGGTCACAAATCACAATTAGAGATGGTCATGGTGGTTCCATGTGTTCCCCACTGATTGCAACTTGTTTTACTTCCTAGTTCCAAAGAAATTGGACAAAGATAATCTATCTATTTTTCAATTTAGTTATCTGAATCACAATTCACTTTAGGGTTTTCTTAGTTTCTTAGAAGTCATTTTTAAATGGGCTTGTCCCTTATTGTTCTCTATATGTTCCATTTTCCATTTTAATGTAATAAGTTTCTAACCTCCCCATGGCATGACAATAAGAAAACCATTAGTTTAGGATTCTCACACCACAATATATCTACATGCATATAAGATAAAAAAAAAAAAATCAAATAAAAATAATAATCAATTGTCTTACCAGAAAGCATTTCCAAATCAATCAATTTTTTTAGAGTGCCATATGCTTCCAGAAATTCCTTTTGTCATTATGTTCTCTTTTAGAAATTCATCTTTCAAAAACATGAAAAGGAAATCGCATTCAATTCTAGCTCATCCCTAATCATCTTATCAATGATCCCAGCACTGAGAAAATGTAGAGTGGATCTGAGGAGATGCTGAGAATATCTCAGCCACATGGAGTACTTGAAATTTGAAAGCATCAGCACTCCCAACCCGAACTGGAGACCCTTTTTCTTCTTCTTTTCCTTTCCCTCCCTTTCATAGGAGAAACTGTTTCTTCTTTCAACAAACCCCAACAATTGATTTCCTCCTTGGTATTTTACAACAAATTTCAAACAGTGAATTTGAGCCATGGAAAGACAGATTGCTTTTGGGCTCAGATCTAAAGTCAGAGATTATTCAACTATGCTGTTCATACCCTTTGAAAGGTGTCTATAATTGCTTTATCAAATGTGCCTTTCAATTGGAGACATTCAAATGGAATTTTCAACTTTGTTGAAGCATAAACTAATTTCAAATAATGGCATTTTAGGATTGTAGACTAATTTCTACTTTGATTGTCAATTCATTATCTTAAATGATGGATTTATGCATTCAAAATTTAAGGATTTCTCATTCCTTGTATATCTCAGTCTCATTAAGGGTCTGTTTGGTTCATGGGAATAGGGGTCTGGAATCAGTAGAAATGGCAATTTATACCCTACCTTGTGGGTAGTCATCCCGATGGGGTGTTTTTTTTCTTGAAGGGCGGATATGGGTTTTGGGATTCTACAACCCTTACGGGTACGGTAGGGTACAATATTAGGATAAATCTAACCCTCCCTAACCTGCATATTGTTGGAAAGTGTATAAATTGGAAAATTTAATAATATTTTGAATTTATTTGAAGGATAATTGATAATTTATGCGCTTTTTACATGCCTTAATCAAATAATTGGAAAATTTGTTGTTTGTGTGTTATTTTACCTATTTATTGCTTATATAACAAGAAATAATAGGAAATTCAATGTGGGTTCTAAACCCAATCCGCCCCTACCCTTGAATGTGGGGAGGGTTGTGTTAGGGATTGATGTTGCGAGATCTAGCACTCCCTGCTGGCAAATAGTTCGGATGCCGAACTAAGTAGGTCGCCTAGCTGAGCTGCAAAGAAAGAGATCAGAGTGTCTGGGTTCCGATGCTTAAGTCAACGAAAAGTTTTGAGAGAGCTAGAGAGTTGTTAATGATAAATCGCACGTACCTCTTCTGATTGAAGGAGACACCTTTATATAGGTGCAGGTAGTTGTGACCGTAATGCATCTGAGATCTCTGAGAGGACGCATCCATAACACGTCCAAGATCCTTGGGAGCATTTTCTTAGTTGGAAATGGGGTTCGTGTTGATTAACTTCGAAGCGGGTGGCACAGGGAGACAAGTCTAATGGTTGAGCAACATGATCCCATAGGAGTCGGGCACAATGTTTCACTTTGAAGTGATTGGTCACCACGTTAGGCAGGTCACCAACTAGGTCCCAATTAGGTAGGTAGGGTCTCAGGGGAGGTTGCCCCTAATGTCGTGGTCCCTAGCTCGGTCGTGATGAGGTTGCCACTTGAGTCTTCATCAGGTCGGTAGATGTAGGTCACCTCTTATGCCGACCTAGTCCTGTCGAGATCTTACGCCATCAAGTCGACGGAGATAGGTCGCCGGATGAGTCTCTATCAGGTCAGTGGAGGTAGGTTGCTAGCTAAGTCTCCGTTAGGTTGAAGGAGGTAAGTCGCTAGGTGAGTCTCTGCTAGGTCGGCAGAGGTAGGTTGCCTCTTCCGTTGACCTAGTCTTGTTGAGATCTTACGCCGTTAGGTCGGTGGAGGTAGGTTGCCAACTGGATCTCTATCAAGTTGGCGGAGGTAGGTTGCCAACTGGGTCTCTGTCAAGTCGGCATAGGTGTAGGCAGGTTGACCACCACGTCATGCTGGTTGCTACCTGGACCTCAATTTAGTCAGTGAGACCTCGACGAAAGGTCTCCCTTCGTGCTGAGGTCTCAAGCTCGGTCCTAAGGTGGCTGTCCCGATCTTGACGAGGTATCTATAGGTCGACTATGGAGAGGTAGTGGCGAAGCACCCTCAAGGTGTACACATTTGACATGGTTCCAAGTAGGTTTCTGTCATTTTAGCTAAGGCAAGTCATCACTTACATAGTGCTAGGGTGTCATGCGACGATTCTAGGATCACCACATGATGCGCTGTCACTAGAGGGCCAAATCTACCCTCATTAGGGGTGATTTTGCATTTTCTTGTGTGGGGAGGGTTTAGATTCTCAAAAGTCCAACCCCACTATGGGTTTTGGGGCAGGTATGGGTTGGGAGGCAGATAGGGTTTAGAATTTACAAAACCTTCCCCGAACCCACCTTATTGCCCCACCCCTAGGAATCGGAATGGCCCATTCCAATTCCAACTGTTTGGTTGGGCAGAATTGAAATCCCATTCACATCCATCGTAGAATGGCATTCTTCCATTGAAATTCCAATTTTAATTATTGTATGAACCAAACAGGTGACAGGAATAGACCATTCTAATTCTGATTCCAAAGGATTTTGAATACAACTCTAAATGCCATCCAGCTGCGAACCAAACAGATTTTAAGAACAAATTTGAACCCTTGATACCGTTTGGGTGATGGGCACAACTTTGAAGGGGAGAAACTCAAAAAGATTTGGGGTGTATTTTGGAATCCCCATATATCCTAAGTGAGGCAGTCATTTGGGGGTCCATCTATTGGAGGGATTTAAATCTTTAGAGAGGTCAGTCACTTGGGAATCACTTTCTTAGGCAGAATCCAAGAAATTACGGTTTTTTTAATGATTTCCATTTCTGCACCTTGATCCAAACACATTGAATTGGAGATTTTTTTAATGTTTCGAATGCTAAAAAACTGTCCTTGGCTACTGAGAAAGGGGGTTCAAACAGATTATCATCAATGTGTCCACCCAAAAGCAAAAAAAAAAAAAAAAAAAATCCACTAAAGCATCCAATGAAAACTTTAAACCAGAGAGCTAAGCTAGAACCTTTTCATTTGGAAATCGTACATTGAGGACAACTCACATTTCTAATTTACCCAGGTTAGAATAGAGCCAAACAGTCTTAACCAGCATAGTAGTTGGACCGGACCGGACTGGACTGGATGGTTAGACCATTCAAAAACGGGTCAATGGTCTGGATGGTTAGACCATTGGACTGTAAAACCCCTGAATCACAAGGATACAAACTACAAAGGGTTGACATCTGATCAGGCAATTGGACCAACCTTCCCAGTGGCCCAAACGGTCTCCTATATCCTTGTCATGAAAAGCAAGCTTCTCTTTATTAATCAATTTCACCCAATTAGCAAAGTTTTCTGAGAGTTTTCTTTCTCAAACAAAATGGCCAAGGCACCGGTGATAGTAGATGGGTCCTGTCAACCATTCGGCCAGAAGTGAGATGGGATTCAGTCCTCACAAAATTTGTCCTTGCACCATCCGATCCTCACAATACTTACAGTTGTGTATTTAGAACATCTCCATATTTTATTTTTATCATTCATGAGGAGATACTTCTAATGCAGGGCCACAAATGTTATAAAGACCGATGTGAGGACAAATTTTGTGAGGACTGAAT